AGAAGAAAATCAGTAGGCCTTGCATTTGGAAGGACCCGAAAGCTGATATAATCACGGGGGAGAATTTAGTACAAGCCCCTTGCTAAAAATTGTCAAAACCCTAAGGTTTAATGTCTTGAAACTCCCCAGGGCTTGGGAAGACCACCAGTCTGTCATGGGGAAGATGGTGCTGCACCTCATAAAAACGAGGCTAGCAGCCAGCACCTGCAGCAGAAGGGAGGCAGGGCTAAACGCATGGAACACTGGCTAAAACCATGGGATGCCTGTTCTGTGGAGTGGAGCAAAATGCCACGGTGCGGGGGGCAGAAGGGGGCAGCAGACTGGAAGCCAGGCTGGAACTTGGAGCCCCCCAAAGCCTTCCAAGGTTAGCATTGAGACATTTGGAAATGATTGTTCATTGTGGAGAAGTTCCCAGAAGCCCAAGTTCCCAGCCCACCCCAGCAACAGAGCAGTGATCAACTTGAAGACGTATTTTCCTGAATGGATCGAAAAGCTGATTAAAAAACAACAACAACAACAACAAAGCCATGGGGACAACAGTGCTCTTGAAGAGGGACTGCTGGAGCACCTGGCTTTTTAATTTGAAGATGAGTCCTGGGCCAAAGGGCTAGGCAGTCAGGTGGCATTCTCAAGACTCCTCCTTAGACCAAGAACTTTCCCAGCCTAGACACGCACATCTCTTCCAAGGTCAGATGGAGTTAGAGGGAGTGAAAGAGGTGGTGAGCCAATGGCTGTTCTTCCTGTTCACTGTGTCCTAGATAAAAATCTCTGCAGCTGGAAAGCTGGTGGAATTAAATTTAGACTTCTATTGTGGCCCGCCCTGCCACGCCTCCCAGGGGGAGGAGCCGCTGGCACAGCTTCCCTGGGATCCACACTAGCTCCTGCAGCCAGTATCTGATGGGTGATGGATGATGGGCCAGCCATGCTTTCCTGACTACCTGTCTTACGGGAAAACACTATCTCAGCATATGGAATACCCCACCAAGCCCCCACTGGGGCCTCCTAGGTCCTGTCACAGAGACAGTGGAAACCATATGAGATAATACAAGCGAGACATTTATAGAATTGCTTGTTATTCTCACTGGAATGATCTGGGTGTGACGATATTTGGCCCTCATGAGACTGCTCATTGACCACACACTAGAGAACCTTCTCTAGAGTCGTCTGCCGTCTCCCAGTGCCAGTCTCTGTTGTTCAGGCCTAGAGAACTCCCCATTGCCCAGAACCCTAGAATCTAGGTTCTTTGCTTGCCTCCTCTCCCTCTCCCCATATTTCCTATGCTCCTGCTCTGGAGTATCTCCCTACCCACAATCCCAGAACTGGGATATTTGGTTCCCTCCTCCTGGTCCATGATTTGCATTCCTCTCTGACTCAGATAGTCAAGTCTTTGGACGTTTTCTGGGACAATCCCAACTCCCGCCCAGAAGGATGGGAAAGATGGCCTGTGACTAGCCCCGAACTGACGCTTTTTCCCAGAGTCACCTTGGATTCCCTTCGAGCATCACAAACATATGCGTGATCCCAGTCCACACCCTCAACCATGTCTAGTGCTCCCAGAAGCTTGGGTTGTTTTACAGTCCTGACTGGTGCTTGGTCTTCCCTGGTGTCTGACCTTATTCTTGCCATTCAACATACAGAGTGGGATTCCTTGCTTTCCTCCGGCCCTCCCACATGCACACTTATGGCAAACTGTGACATGCTTCCATGCACATAGCCCCACCATCCTTCGTGACTTCCCTCAACCTGACAGCTTCATCGCAGCCACACGGCTGGTGTCTCACACGAGATCAAATCTACTGGAGTTCCCACCTGTCCAGGTGGGTCATCAGCAGGGCCAAGCCTCCTTGTCTAGGCAGGCTCTTCAAATCTCCGTAGTTAATAAGCTCTTCTTCCCCTGCCCCAGGCTTCTCTCTGGAACCTCCAGCCATTCCACAAGGACCAGGCTCCTTTTGCCCACCACTACTTCCCTGGTCACTGTTCTCTGCATAGGCTCCTGTCTGTTACCAGTCTTGGCTTTCATAGCTCCCAGAGTGGGCTCCCAACAGAAGAGCCTGAACAGGACTCTTCCTGGTTCTCCTCTTCCTAGTTCCCATAGCTGTCTCAGCCATCACCACGCCCTGTTGACTAACGCGTTCTCCGTGACAGGTAAACTCTGTCAATCATTTTTATTCTCACAGCTGTCTCCCCACCTCTCCCTTGGCTACTGCCCAGGCTTTGGGCTTTTTACTTTAAATATAGAACCTTGTTTCCATATCCTCTTTCTCTTCTTCTGTTGGAACAATTCCTCTGCTCATCTCTCCCTTCCCTAATCTGCTTCCAACAGGCCTACTGCCAAGATAGACTGTCAGGTGTGCCTGGGAATACATCTTACCAATATAGTCTGTGGTCAAAACCAAGTGCATCCCGTATCTGAATTCTATCTATATTCCTTCAATGAACGAGAAGCCAGCTCACAAATCTTATGAGACTCCCTCACACTGACTCTGAAATTCCACATAGGAGGCAGGTATGGACTGATTGACCCCATTTTAAAAACATCTGCATCTTGTTTCCCTTGAAGAATCTCTTTAAATTGCCCTGACCCTTGTCCCTGCTCAGGGAATGGGCCTCTGCTCAGGGAAAGGGCCTCCACTCAGGGAATGGGCCTCCACTCAGGGAACAGGTCTCTGCTCAGGGAATGGGCCTCTGCTCAGGGAATGGGTCTCCACTCAGGGAACAGGTCTCTCTGCTCCTGGTCTCCTAGCTCAGTTTTTTTCCATGACACTACTCCCTCTCACTCACACATTCTCATCCTTCCTTACCTTTTAGCTGCCTGTCCAGAGGACCCTTCCAGGCTCCCTGCCTGCATATCACATGCTTTAACCCCAAGCCCCACACTTTCCAGTCCCCATAAACTAGCTCTGCCCTCCAATGACGCCTGCTGCAGCCCCACGTTCCAGCTCTGGGTCTGCTTGGGTCCTGGGGGTGAAGGAAAGGTCCCGTTCGCACCTGGAGAGCCTGACACACGCGTGCTTTCTCCTCCCTCTGTGCTTCTTTTCCCTTCTAATGTGCCATTTGTGCTTCAGCACCTCAATATTCAGAAACCTGTTCATTCTCCATGGCATCTCAGGGCCTGGGCCACTGCCTGCGGTACAATAATTCACTCCAGTATGATCGCAACCCACACGAAGCCATCATAGGAACTGTACAAATGTTGAGCACTGTGCAGCTGGCTTTTGAATGATTTGGTAAGTGTTGAGAGCTTGGGAGGCTTCTCAAGAGGGTGCACTGCTTGTACAATAAAAAAAAAATATATAGAAGACGATACTCCTTGGGGGCAGTGATGGCACCACAGGAACGTGCTCGCCTAGCAAGTGTGAGGGCCTGAGTTGCTCTTCCAGAAACCACAATATAAAAGCCTGGCATAGGGACACAAACTTGCAATCTTAGCAACAGATTAGGCAGAGATTGGTGTGTATGGCTGTCATTGACCGTTCACCAGACTAGCCTAATTGGCTTGGCAAGTGACAAACCTATAAGAGAACTTATCCCCCTGACCCAGAAAAGAAGACAGACCACACCTGAAGATCAACAGTTGATACCCTCTGGCTCCGTGGGCATATGCCCATGCCTGCACACACACACACACACACACACACACACGCATACACACACACCTGTATACATATATACCTATACTCACACAAGAAAAAAAAATAAGCCTTACCTTCCCAAATTTGAATTAATTTCAAAGAACTGAAGAAATAACAACTCATCTCCTGATCACACAATATACTGAGATCACAGAAAATTTTATTGTAGAAAAAAGCAGAACTGCCAAGCCCTTCAAAGTTCAGCTTCCAACAGGCAATGAAGTCACAAGCATTCCCCAGGGATCCCTACAGAGAAGCCCGGAATTCCAGACAGAATTACAGGCTCAGCAAGCCAGTGAAAGGGTCTCCAGAACTTAGAAGCAAAGCCACATTCCCTCTCTAGTGGCTGTTGATTGGTTGTGCTTTTTTCTTCCTCCCTCCTCGGCACAGTTCAAGGATTTTTTTTTTCAGAGAACTGTAAATTAAATTTTAAATTAGGAGTTCAAGTCTGACAACTGAGAATCAGAGTTCAGAAGAGACTTAGGAGTTCTGAGAGAGAGCATTGGGTTGCCTGCTAAAACCCGGGCCATTTCCAGACTGGCTTAAGGTTGGATCTCTCCCCAACCCAAGGCAACATCTCTCATTCCTCAGGCCCAGGCACCTGGGTAGAGCCGGGCTGCCCTACCGGTGCCCGGTGTTTGGGCAATTCTCAGCACGTCCTTTTGGAACAGCGTTCTTGAAGGAGCTGGCTCCAAATACAGGGGCTGCTGGAAGGGGGAGGGGCAGAAACAGACCGTGACTGTCAATCCCATACCACCCCCACCCACTGCTGAGAACAGCCATTCCTTGGACAAGGGCTCCAGTTCCCATGCTCACTGAACGATCCCTACTTGGGGCTGTTAACCCAGGGGACAAAATATATCAGCAAGGGCATGACCTACAGGTACCGAATCTGAACAACAAACCCACCCTTGCCATCATGGTGAGGGAGCATAAGACTACAGAGCAAGCCTCCTCCCCATGGCCCTTGTCTCAGATGTGCCCCTCGCTAACAATCTTGCCTTGCAATAGGTTTCTGGGAGGGAAGGCCGCTGTGGGTGAGGGGTTATTATTTACTGAGCTACCCAGTTTGAGGAAAAGGGACCTGGGACTGAGGCCCCTAGTGAAGTTGCTCTCCAAGCTCTTTTTCTTCGTTGCTGGACAAGACCCCTGGGGATCAGGACATTGGAGGGACAGAGGAGGGGTGCCGGAGTAAGCATGTGTCTTTAACGAAATAAAGAGGCGGTAAATCTGACCTGCTTCCCCACCTAGAGCGAAGTTACCTGGAAGCTTGCTGAGACCCGTTGGGAAAAGGTAGGTGAGAGAACCCGGGAGGGCGGGGGGGTGGGGGGGGGGAGCGGCAGGAGAGGTACTGAAGCCGCTTTCCCGCTACTCCACCACGCGCCTGCGCGAACTGTGGGTGGAGGTCTGCACTATCTGAGTGCGGGAGGAGCCGCCGCTCCGGCCGCCGCCGCCACCGCTGTATTTGCTGCTGCTTTTGCTGCTCGAGCCGTAGCTCCCGCCGCCCCCGCGGGAGCCTGCTCCTCCTCCGTAACCGCCGCTGCCCCCGCGGGAGCTGCTGCCGTATCCACCGCCGTAACCGCCTGAACCCCCGCCGCTGCCGCCACCGTAGCTGCCGCCGCCTACAGTCACCTGACTGCTCTGCACAGCTGTACCAGGGAGGGACAGACGCACAAGGGTCAGAAGGACTGGCAGGGGGACCCAGCGGCACCTGGTGACCTCCTCTTTGAAAACAGACTCATTGGAAGTCACTGCGCACTTCCAAAGGATGTAGGCCTTCGTTTAAGTGTGTCACCTCTGTTTAGAGACAAGGCCTCCGTGCTCAGCTTTTATTGGATACATCTCCTAATGATAGCTAACCAGTGCTGTCAAGTATCCCAAGCAAGAAAAGCAAGCCTTTCTCACTATGGTGTTCCTTGTATGAGACTAGAAAACAAAGCCAACCCGGCCCAGCCCATCCAGCCTCCATCCCGGACTGACGCTGCTACTTACAGATGCTCACTTGACTCTGCAGCTCCCCCGACATCCTGTGAAATGAAAGCAGGGCCATCAGCCATAGGAGCAGAGATGCTGATGTAGGGGTAGAGTAGAACTGTCCCTGAGCCCTTTCATGAAGTCTTAAAGCATTTGTGGGTCACACCTGGCTGCACCTATCTTAGGCTGGAGTACAGGAGATTGGTGCTTGGGAGAAGGGGTGGGTAACAATGGCTTCTCCCCTACCCTTCTAACCTATACACCCTAACTTGCATCTTTCCGCTCACCTTGAACCACCAATCTTTCTGGGAACACCTGGAAAAGCCTTTCTTCATTCTCATTGGTCCATGGGTACATTCATATCTTTGGCCCAGGGCACATGGCTACTGTACACCCACCTGCTCTCCTCGCCCTCCAGCAGCTGGCGGTAGGTGGCGATCTCCACATCCAAGGACAGCTTGGCCCCCAGCATTGCCTGGTAGTCTCTCAGCAGCCTGGCCAGCTCCTCCTTAGACTGTTGGAGAGCCTCGTCCATGTCTTGCAGCTTTTGCTTTGCATCCTGGAGAGCCCTTTCTCCTCTCTCCTCTGCATCGGAAATGGATCCGTGCATCTGTTCGATCTATATCAGAGACAAGTGGAGTACCACGGATGTATTGAGCCCCTGGAATCTGACCTTGACCTTATGGGAGGTGGCATGTCTGGTGAGCCCACCATGAGCACCCACCCCACCTGCTTCTTGACGCTGTTGATCTCTGCCTGCAGCCTCTGGATGTTGCGGTTGAGCTCTGAGATCTCCATCTTGCTGTTCTTCAGGTCATCTCCATGTTTCCCGGCTGTGATCTGCAGTTCCTGGTACTATAGGTCAGAGGCAGCACCATGGTCAGCACCTACGGTTTTCTATGGTCTCCCTGAGAAAGCTCTGGGCCGCTCTCTCTTGGAGTAAGGTCATCCACCCCAAACCTCCCTCAGCTGAGGAACAAAAAGACATGTGTAGGCACAGTACGTGCATACACACACACACACACACACACACACACACACACACACACACACTCATGCGAGCGCGTGCGCGCACATTCACACACCACTATAGCAAACCTCCCTCCTCCCTGATTTACACCAGTCTCTGGGCGGTCTTCTCCTCTTCCATTCAGACAACCCTGTTTCTTAATGCCCATCACAGCCTTTTTCACACACCTAAGCCTTCACACCATCCTTACCCATGCCGGACCCTCTGACTCTGTCCCACCCCCATATTCCTTGTCCCATTTCCAGAGTGATTCTCCTAGCAGGTAGGAACTGCTGGCCTCAGAAGTCCTCAGAGGACCCACAGTCATTATTTTCTCTCTCCTGTGCCAGCATTGCTTCATCAACCAGACTACACACAGGGCGTCCTCAGGAAGAGCTGATGAGAAAATGTGCATTCTGACACAATTCTCCTTCCCCAGGTCAGTGACAAAATCCACTGTATCCCACAACATCTGCTTCCAGATTGTGGGACAGAGGTCAGCGACCCTAGAGTTGGCTTCAAAATCTACAAAGCAGACAACCACATCCTGCTTACTCAGAATTCAATGGCTGAGCTGCCTGCCTTTGTTCCTCCAACTAGAGTCTTAACCATTCAGAAACATGCATTCATACCCAGGAGGTAACAGAAAATATGCCCAATGGCATGCAACAAGTGTTCACCTTGTAAGTTCTCATACTGTTAAGAAAGTTGTAGAATGCTTAGAGCCACAGAAAGCCATTTCTAAGTAATATATAAAATAGAAAACAAAAAAGATAGTATTATGAAAAATATAAACAACAAACGTTGTGATGGTTAAAGAACACGTTTGTAATTTGCACTCCTGGGTCTAGTTATGGTTAATGGCAGCTATTATTACAAGGCTTGGGAGAATTAGGCGGCATGGCACCTATGAGTATGAACTAAAAATAAATAACTGAAACAGGCAGGAACTAACCACACGCATTCAGAGTAGTGAGAAGAGAAGGGTAATCCTTGGCCAATTATCGGAAGTCTTTACCACTGGCATGTTACACGTTAAAGTCAGAGGCAATATCAGTTTGGGGAGTTTCTGTTTATTTGGGGGTGCAAACTCAGATCCCAAGTTTACCTTGGTCTGGTACAGTGCCTCGGCCTCATCCTTGCTCTTCTGTGCGATCAGCTCATATTGGACTCGCACCGCATCGATGATGCTGTCCAGGTCCAGGGAGCGATTGTTGTCCATCGACAAGATGACATTGGTGTCACTGATGTGTGTCTGCATCTGGGACAGCTCCTGTGAAGCAGAGCATAGTTCACTCCTTCCACCCTTCCCTAGAGCCTCAGTTGCCCCCTGGGCAACTGCCTGGGGAAGCCGGAATCTGAGCTACAAGGGCCTCTTATAAGCAATGAAACATAAATGAAAGGTCTTACGTGTCTCAAGTCAAGTGATGGGGCCCAGACATCTTGGGAGGAGGAAGCAACCCCGTGACCCGCTCTCCATCATGCCTCCTGTACTCACTGCCCCAGCCTTGCTCTGACTTCACCACCTTTTCGACACAGGTCTTTGAAAGACACAGCTTCTCCTTGTAGCCCTAAGAGCTCTCAACGACAGCAGAAGGGACTCCAATCTGGAGTCACCTGACTAGCAGCTTGACGAAGCAAATAACTGGATCTCAGTTCATGCACTCTTCTGTTGAATGGGCAGCTCCACAAGCAGAGCTTCTGACAAAACACTCAGCTGGGAGCGTGAATCCCCACGTTAGACACAGGTCATAGGTGGACCTGGGGAACATACTCCTGCTCCCCTCCAGTTTGCCTTTTCCACAAAATCCCTCCTGTCATTTTCTTCAGGGTTCTCCCGAAGCCCGATGGACTTCCCACAGAGCGTGAAGACCTGCTTGCTACCCTCGTGTCCCAGGTGACCAGAGACCATGAAGCAAGAAACCACTTCACCCTCACCTACTCGAGATTCTCGCTGCCCACCCACATCCCCACTGCCCCAACCAGAACCTTGAAGTTCAGGGAATGGCTGCCCAACGTGAAGACCTGGATTCCTGGTGAGATGAGCCTTCTCCAGCTCTTATGGGGTGTGGGAAAAGAAAGGGGCTTCTCCTCAGGACTGAACTCACCGTATCAAATAGATATTTCAGGAAGTTGACCTCCCCATACAGCGTGTCCACTTTGGACTGCAGGTCTGATTTGCCCATGAAAGCAGCATCCACATCCTGAGTGACGAAAATGTTTGACTTCATTACCCAAGCATTGCCTGCCACCAGCTTCATGTCTGGCCTAAGGCCACTGTCAAATGTTCTCTGGGTTTAGTTCCTGGCTAAAAATGTTATCACTTCACTCAAATCAGGGTCCTAGAAAGAGGCACAACCTCTACCATGATTCAGCCACATCAGCTCTTCAGATCCCAAAGCAGAGTCCTTCTGGCTTCCTTTCTCTGTAAAAGCCCTGCAGTTGGGCAGAGTACGTGCCCATGCTGGCCCAAGGGTCACCCTGTCCACAGCACAGAGCATTCCCAGGGCTTCTCTCCTACCCAATCCTCAGCTCCCTGAGGACCCCCTTTCCATTACCTTCTTCATAACAACAAAGTCGTTCTCAGCATTGGTCCGCTTGTTGATTTCATCCTCATACCTGTGGTGGAGGCAAGAAGCAGGCTGAGAGCCAACTTCAGCCCTCTGAGGGTCAGCCTCCCAGCAGAAAACCCAAGCCCCCACCATCCTGAACTCAGCCCTGCTCCAGCACTGCTGACGGATGACTGGCCGTCCAAATCCTCCTGGCCAACACTAACTACAGAACACAACATGAAAAACTTGGAGACACAGAATGTCCCCAAATATACATTTGTTCTGATGTTACAATGTTATAAATGTTTACCTCAAGTTTTTTCAATAAAATCATAAAGTAATAACCACTTTGACCAAATCTTTTAAGAGAAAAATATTTCACCTATAGTTCTGCCCCCAATATGAGTTTTATTTTTCCCTGGGGACTCAGACATATGTTACCCTCCAGTACCCAAGCATGGCCCTTGAGGTGGGAGACTGTAGAAAGGCCCCTTAGGACTAACAGTTGCTCATGAAAGTCACCCCTACCGTTGCCGCTGTTAACTATTAAGTATCATTTCATCTCAACTAGTGTGTCTCAGTGTGGTCCCCAGTCCACCAGCATTGGCTTCACACATATACTCTGACTGCATCCCAGACTCACTCAATCAGAACCACTGGGTGGGACATAGATTCAGACACAACATGAGGCAAGCTTAAGTTTAAGAACCACAGAGCTATTCCATCCAGTATGCAAAAAGAAGGGGACTCTCCAGACAGAGAGATGAACTTGTAGGCAGGGCTCACTCATCACCTGCCTTTCCCTGCTCAGTGTAACTGTCAGCTAGCTGCCACTGACATCCCACCAGGACTGTCACATGTAAAACGTCATCCCCTGCAATTATACACTGCAGAACCACATGAGCCCCCTGGTTCCACTGCAGCAAAAGGACCCTGACTTGCCCCTTGGTCCCTCCCCCACCTGGATCCTTACTTGCTTTTGTAGTCCTCCACGACATCTTGCATGCTCCTGATCTCCAAGTTTTGGCGAGACCGCTCAGAGTTCAGAAAATCCACCTGCCTCTGCAGTTGGCTGATGTAACTCTCGAAAATGGGCTCCAAGCTGCTGGTTCGAGTCGTGGTGTTCACCTGCTGCAGCAGCTCCCATTTTGTCTGTAGCACCTGGTTCTGCTGCTCCAGGAAGCGCACCTAAAAAGCAAGGTCCCCAGGATACCCCAGACCATGAGCCTGAACAGCCTTCTCCATGGGAAGAGCTATCCATGGCCTTGCAGCCCACTCAAACCTCAAAAGTTCAGGATGGGCCTTCAGGCCATCAGGGGAGGTAAACGGTTTCTTATGTTGCCTCCAGCCAGTTTCATTGAGATGCACCCCCTGACACAACAAAACTTTCAGCCCACACTCAATTTATCCATGCCAAAATGAGCATTTGTCATTTCCTTTGTCTTTACGAGTGGAGCGTGGCTCATGTGACTGAGAACTAGAAGGCAGAAGAAGCAGTCTTTTAGTATCCCGGGCAAGCTTGGGTGGGTGCCCCCTGAATCCACTACCATCTTTGCTCCCTGCAACTGTGGTTTTCAAGACAGCAACCTCATTTAAATGCTATTATAATCCAGGTAGAATTTACTAAAATAAGTGCTTCCACTTTTTAAAGTCCCACAATGCATTCACACGTCCCAAGTAAGAGCTTTGGGCTGACATATTTCAAAAATGCCTAGATTGCTATTTTTTTTGCTAGCCGAGGAAATAGAGCATCGACGTGGCCCTACTCATCACTCCTCCCTGTGGGAACAAAGATTGTACATAGAGTGGCTGACGGCATAGATCAAGAGCATGGATACTTTGTCCTTCATGTCACAAAACCCAGTTTTCACTGTTCCCTGCCGGTTGCCCAAAGGTGGAGCTTCCTGTGCCATGCATTGATAAAGACAGCTGTGCCAACTGTGTGCTTCCCTCAGGGACTCTGTGTGTGTGTGTGCGCACACACAAATTCTCACACATTTGTGAGAGATGTGTGCATCATACATCTGTATATAGATTTTACATGCACAAATATTCACAGTCACACAGACAGGTATAATCACATATATTCACATTCATGTGCACACATTTACATACTCGCTTCTACACAAACACATTCCCACATAAATAAGTTTATAAACATATCCATTCATATATACACATTAAGAGAGAGATCTCTATGAAAGGGAGGGGAACCAGAACAGCCCTTTGCAGACACTGTCCTAAGATGGGGCGCTATAAGCCACCCAGAATTCCCAGGCCCCTGAGACTCCGCCTGTCTGAGGGACCAGCTCTTGCCAGATCTCCTTGGATTCTGCTTCTAATCAGAAGAATGTGTGCAGAGAACATTGTCTCTCAGGCTTGCCTTGGCTGTATCACAGCAAGGGATTGGAGCAAGCAGTTCTCAGATGCCCCATGTCAGCGCAGCTCGTAACCCCATGAGGAATTCCTGCCACTATCTATTTCTGTTCTGTGGCGACACCCCAGAGAGTGGGAAGGTCAGTTACTCCATTACAGCTGCATGTTTGGTGACAGTGGCACAGTGGGTATGGGCCTTCTCAGACTGTGACTTTTATGCCAAAGGAGGACTTATGAAGGAGAGAGGGTGCTGTCCTTTCAAGGGATGGCTCTACCATGCTGTTGAGAATAGGCCAGGCTGTGCAGATGGGAAACCAGGGGCCAGCCTGAGAAATTACAGTAATAAAAGCTTGTTTTTGTCCAGGCTGGAGGCCACCTGACTGATGGTCATCAAGGCCAGCTCCAAAGGAGAACAGGAAGCCATCTCCTGCACCTTGGTACCCTGCTGTAAAACTAAACAGGCCTTTGTTGATGGCAGGAGCCTTGATCCAGCAAAAATCCCAAATTAATTCCCAGAAATCTGTGGTCCTTTGTTGATGCCAGTTTTCCCTGTTCCCCCTTCAGCAACCTTGGCCTCCTGGCAGCATCTCCCTCACTATTAAGTTCTTGCTCCAGGCAAACCTTCCGGCCTCTGCCTGTACTCAGGCACCATGGTGTCCAAATTGGTTTCACTTCCAGAGTGAACACCCTGGGGCTGTCCATGGCCCTCCTCCATGCCCTCCTCCTGCTCACAAACCACTTCAGCTCCAACACTTGCCCTGATTGCTGGAAGTGGTCATTGTACCTCCCTCTGCAAGTGTCAAAAGGAAGATTTTTACTCCTCAGAGACCTGAACATGAGGCAAACCTAATCAGTGAACTGGGGTAAAGGACTTCAAAGTGGCCCTCGGTTGGCCTCAGGTGATGTACAAAGGACAACTCAGACAGAATGCCCCGTTAGCTTCTGGAGAGACCTGCCACCAGGACATTTACTGAAGCCCATAACAGCTTCCCAGTTGTTGCTGTCTGTCCCTCTATTATATCACCACCTCTCTCCTTCCTGTAACTTTCTCAGAAATTGTGACATTTGACATTCCCTGGAAGGATCACACTTGTCACGTTTCCTTGCTACATGGACATTCTTTCTGCTGTGCTTGGCTCTCCTTTCACTTTCAAGACCGAGGTGAGACCTGGGATCTCTCAGTGAAGCACTCCCAGTGTCCAGCATGGCACAACTCATGGCACCTTCAGGATACCATGACCCAAAGGCTGCCACACATACTAACACATCTCCTATAAACTGTCCCAGTTCTCTGCCATTCAGCTTGGGGGCTCCCTGTAGCTTCTGTGTATGGTGGCATGCAGTAAACCTAATAAAATATTTGTGAAATGAATAGGAGTGGGACAAATGGACAGGTAGACTGACAGACAGACAAGTGAATGGGTGGATTGATAAGCATTTGAGTGCATAGCAGGGAATGGGTGCAGGCATGAGTGTTGGGTAGAAGCATGGGTAGGTGATATTTATTGTGGATGATAGATGATGGGTGGGTGAGTGGATATTTAGGTGAATGAATACAAATGAATGGATGGATGGATGGATGAAGATGAGTGGATGGGTGGACATATTAGATGGATGTATGAATACATGGTGTAAATAAGTAGATAGATATAGATAGGTGGGCAGACAAATAAATAGATGAAGATAGATAGATGAAGGGAGATGAATGGATGCGAATAAATGGATGGGTGATGGGTGAATGTGTGTGCCTAAGAGGATAAGGGGATGAATAGATTGGGTGGATAAGTAGATAAATGGATGATGTATGTGGATAAGCAGATGGATGCATGGGTGGATGGATGCACAGATGGATAGATAGATGGATGGGTGCATGGATGGATGGGTGCATGGATGCATGAATGGATGTAGTTCAGTTGGTCGGTGGGTGGGTGCATGGATGGGTGGGTGCTTGGATGCATGAATGGATGGAGTTGAGTTGGTGGGTGGGTGCATGGATGGTGGATGGATGGTGTGGTTGAGTTGGTGGGTGGGTGGACAGATACGTGTGTATGGATGGTGAGTAGGATGGATGCTGAGGCGGGCGATTAAATGAGTGAACGGGTGTCTAGGAACACAGATGAATGGAACGTGGGTAATGATGACTGAGAGCGAGATTGTTATCATGTGTACCTGTTGGGTATCACCACACCTCTTATCTGCTTTCCTACTAAAAGGGAAAGATAAAATGCAGCCTGAGAAGCCTACATTAAATATTATCTATGTAAAAGCCTCAGTCAATGGCTTTCTTGGGGTCCCAGACCACACAGAATGGAGGGACTGCCACCAACAAAGTGAAGCAGCTCTGCAGCATCAGCACTATGGCAGAGTGTGAGGCCCTCTCGGCCACTTGGATGCTGACCAAGGACTCTATCTACCCCTAAGGTACTTACCTTGTCGATGAAGGAGGCAAACTTGTTGTTGAGCGTCTTGATCTGCTCACGCTCCTGGTTCTTGACCCTCTGAATTTCAGGGTCTACCTCCAGGTGTAGGGGTTCCAGGAGGCTCTGGTTAATAGTCACCTCATGGATACCCCCAGGAGGAAAAGATGGACCGAATCCACCAAACCCACCAAATCCAGCACCAAATCCAGCACCCCCAAAGCCACCTCCAAATCTGCCACCACCATAGCCACCGCCTCCAAAGCCACCACCCCCAAAACTTCTTCCTGCTCCAAATCCTCCTGTTCCTCCCCCTAGGCAGAAACTACTGGCGCTTCTCCCTACTAGGCACCCAAAGATGCTTTTACTACCGCCCAGATTGTAGAGACTCCGGGAGCTAAACCCCCCTCCATAACCACCGCCACTGCACCTCCCGCGTGACTGGCACACAGATCCCACAACCTGTCGCCCACCGCCAAAGCCTGAGGAGGACCTGCTGCTGTAGCCCCTCCTGCTCCTCGAGCTAAAGGCAGACTGAGAGCTAAACCTGTGACTCATGGTTGCTAGGGCAACCAGAGGTGGAAAGCAAGGGCCCAACTGGAAGGAGGCAGAAAGCAGGAGGGAAGGAGCTGTGTCTCCCTTGCAAAGGCTTTGGCTCAGTCCCTATATATACACACACCTGCTGGGCTGGGTGACTGGGAGGGGAATATTTGCCAGCTCCATCTGCTTAAAAACTTCACACCTATCTGTTGCTGAAATTACACTGCAGACAAACTCCCCCAACTTGATCATTTATCATTTATCTCTTACTGTGGAGATATCGAAGGGCAGCAATCTCTCAGGATCTCAGTGTTGGAAACTCCTGTGGAGTTTCTCCTCAAATCTCACACTGATCTTTTCCTACGAAACACGCTGAGTTGTTTGTTTTGGGGTGTGCCTGAGAGATCTGGGATAAAACTACAGAATGTCTAGTGACCTTGGGACACAGCTGGGACGAGAGTGGAGACACTCGCTTCAACAGGGCTGTCCCTGTCCGCAAAAGCTGGTTTTGTTTTCCATCGTTTTCATGTGTCAACAAAATATTTTGTGAGCATCTCCCTGTGATATCTCCTAGACTCAAAGGCAAACTATCCCAAACTATCTTCTTCTCTTCTAGTATTTCTAAACTGACACTGGCAATATTTTAGGGGGAAAAAAGGAGTAGTTATCCTTTAAGGGATATGTAAAGACCACAGTTTTTTATTTTATTGTTTTTAATAATATATTTTTCTCCACTCTTCCCTTCCTCTCCCCTCCCCTTCCCATGGTCCCCATTGTCCCAATTTGCTCAGGAGGTCTTGTCTTTTTCTATGTTCTATGTAGATTAGATCCATGTATGCCTCTCTTAGGGTCCTCATTGTTGTCTAGCTTCTCTGAGATTGTGAATTATAGCCTGATTTTTTCTTTGCTTTATGTCTAAAAACCACTTATGAGTGAGTACATAAGATAATTGTCTTTCTGGGTCTGGGTTACCTCACTCAATATGTTTTCTAGCTCCATCCATTTTCCTGAAAATTTCAAGATGTTATTTTTTTCTGCTGTGTAGTACTACATTGTGTAAATTTACCACATTTCCCTTATCCATTCTTCGGTCGAGGGGCATCTAGGTTGTTTCCAAATTCTGGCTATGACAAACAATGCTTCTATGAACATCACAGTTTTTGGAAAGCCTTAATTTAGGTTTAGTCTCATTATTTTTTATTTGCTCAACATAAAATGGCCCTCCTAGTAAAAAGTAGCAATAATAACAGTAAGTTCCTCAAGGGTTACTCTCAAATTCTGTATTTATTAAAGAACTGCAGTGAACGAATCGTGGCCTGTGTGCATTCTCTGAGGACTGTCCCCAGTAGGAGGCCAGGCGAGAAATTCAGGGAGTGTATTCGTGTCATCTGACAAAGTATGTTTCTGCTTCTGGATACAAATAGCTAGTAAACTGCATCCAAATGTATGAAAATGTCTTAAACATGAAGAGAAAGAATAAATGCCCAGTTTCAGCAAACAAGATTGGGTAATTTCTCCACAGGGACGCAATTATTTAAACCCTCAAGGGAGTGTAGCAGGACCAGACAAGATCATGATATCATAAATGTTATGAAGACCTGGGGAGCTCAAAAGTCACAAGGAGCGTGAATCACTCAGGCAGATCATGGGACACTTTCTCCCAGGATTTTAAATGCCCTTTATCTACGTGTTCATGCAATAAATTATTATTATTATTATTATTATTATTATTGTTATTGTTATTTTTTGCAATAGACTCCCAAGTGCTCTAGCTTTGGGCAGAAATCCCAATCAAGGCTGGGATGATCGGCTGGTCTGAAAAAGCAAGAGACTGTTCGGAGGGAGACATCCTGCAGCTGGGAGTGTCCTAAGGGCCTTATCACTCTCCACAGTGTTCCGAGCGTGGGAACTGTTTAATAGGTCACCTCCAGGGATCGCTGTGGAGGGGGAAGAGAATGAGCCTGAGATGTGGAGACGAAAGATCAGCTCCTGGATGTTGCCATCTCAGACAAGTCATTCGCTCCAGAGCCTTGGATGCTACCGTCTTTCCAGACTCCATGAATTAAAGCCCAGCAGAGTACACTACAACACCCTAGAAGTATGTGTGGTAGCTGCTCTCTCCTTCCCACGAGCCCATCCCGGTGAGCAACAATCATCCACGTCATCCATGATTCCAACTCAAGCTTGGACAGTGCCATACAAATCAAAACAGATGGCCACCCTAGTCTTTTTCCATCTATACAAGGCCATTATTCCCAACTTAACCTCAAGGGACTTTAGATAGGACAATGAAGCCAGGCCCGCATGTTCAAAGATAAGGAGAAGGCAAAAAGGCCAGAGAACGAGTTGAAAATGAAACTCTGGAGAGCCAGATGCATGAGAAAGTTGACAAAGGCCAGGGTCCTGAGTCAAGCAGAGGCAGAAGCAATGAAAGAAGAAGAAAGAGGTAGAGGTCAGAAGAGTTATGGTGGGACAGTGGGCATGGCAACAGTGGTTGATGAAGGAATTCTCGAGATGAGCATCTTGAAACTTGGCTTTAAAGCAAGACTTTGCCCCTTCCCAGCCCCTTGGTTTGGACACTTGCGTCCTCACATCTCAGTTTCAGACGTCTGAAACAAAGAGAGTAACATCAGCAGTGCAGGAGACTCTAAGGAGGGCTATGCTCAAATACAAAGGAGCAGCTATCAGTTGGCCATATGAATAGGGCTCCTTCCCCTAACACCTTCAGGAAGCTTCCACCAAGGCTAAAGACCTTGGGAGCCCCTCTCAACCTCTGCAGAGCTTGTCTGTACTGTTGGCTTATATCCATCTCTCGTCACCTCCATCTTCACACCCAGCTAAATAAACAGGTCCTTAGCATCAGAACCAAACACAGCCTAAAAAGTGCCCACCAGATTGCTGGTGGAGACTAGTGGCAGAGTCCTGCCACTGAGTGAAAGTAAAGGCTAACACAGAGATATTTGAAGAAGGAAGAGCCTGGCCCCACATTGAGCCAGCCTCCCTGGTTCCTGGCTCTGTGGTTGCCCTGTTTACTGACTACTGGCTCCCCCTCCCATTACTCACTGCCTGCTATCATCAGCAAGAACTCTCCTTAAAAAACAAGTGGGGAGTCAGCTTGCCCCACCTGACTCCCAAATATGAAACCCAGGCTGCCAAGAGGGTGAGGCCAAGCAGCTATCAGTCACAGAATCACAGTCTCAGCAGCAGCAGGGGGCAGGGTTCCGGAGGATCTGCTGGTGTGACCCATGAAGCGTCCCCACAGATGCTCCCTGTCTCATCCAGCATCTCCCAGGGGCTGGACGAGGATATGGCAGGGGTGTGGCAGAGAAAGACCTGAGGAAGCATCTCACTCCCCAGCCCCCACCCCGAGGGTGAAGCTCTTGGGCTATGGGGCAGGTATGTATGGAGTTTGTGTCAGCCTTGTGACTGGAACTTTGGGACCTGTAACCTGCAGATAAGACACTGCAGGGTGGTAAAGATGGGGAGAGAGCAGCTGCTGGACAGAGCAGAAGCTCCAGCCTTAGTTATCCACCCAGCAGGAGCTTCTCCCTGTTCAAGTGTCAGAGCCGAACTTGCAATAGAGGTCGCCAGTCAGTTGGCTGGTGTCATTTCACACCACTGGGGACTTCTGATTTCTGGGTGAGAATGGCTACTGGGCCATCACCTAATGTCCCAAAGTACCCAGGGCCTCACCTTTGTTACCCTCTTTGACTAGAATCCCAGGACCTGCCTGGAAATGAAGGAGAAAGCAACTTTCTTCTACCTTGTCAAACCTATCAGAGGCTCTGAGCCCTGGAAACCCCCATGAGGCCACAGCACATCTCGGCAGAGTCCCATGCAGAAGGTTCCAGAGACAATGTTGTTCTGGGCATGTTAAGGCTCTTCCATCCAAAGTACTGGAGAGCTGACTTTTTAAACACCCTTCACCAAAGCTGGCACTGTCTCTTGTCACTGATCAAAGGGAACAGCTGGGCATGTGTGGGCCTAAAAGAAAACAAGGTTGTAGGCTGGACCCAAGCCGAATTCCAAGAGAAATAGTCAAGGCCCGGGTCATGAATCACTGCTGTCTGAGCAGAGGACACTTCTGTATATTGGATCAAAAGGGAGTCAGGAGGTACTCAAGATTGTAGGGATTGTTGGTAGTGGGGTAGGGACCAGAACCTCAAATTTCTGGGGCAGGAGATAGAAAATACTCAGTTAGTTCCAGGCTTGTATGTCTCCTTTCCATGTTAAAGAGACGATAGTAGTACAAACACAACAAATTAATTATTATTCTTTCCTTTATTTAAAGAATAAGCAGGTTCCTGGAACAATGGTTATGAACTTTTATTGGGTTCTTACAATGAAGAAGCTACATGGATGGCATTTGAGCTTCATAGACTCTTGGTACAAGGGTTCATGCACATGTAGAAGCCAGAGGTTGGTGTCAGTGTCTCCCTCTGTCACCTCATCTTATATTCTGAGACAGAGTCTCTCCCTGAACCTGGAGCTTGCTGCTTCTGCTGGATTGTCCAGCCAGATTCTCCTCGGATCCGCCTATCTCAGGACCTCCTACACTAGAGCTGCAGTCTCCACACACATCACCAGGGCTACAGACTCACCTCACCACCCTCTGATTTTTCTGGGGATCCTGAGGATCTGAATGTGGGTCCTCATGCTTGCACACGCATTTTACCCACTAAGCCATCTCCAGTGTCGCCCCCCCTTTTTTGCAGAGGACAAAGTTTCTTGTAACCCAGGCTGACCTCATACTCTCTGTGTAACTAAGGATGACCTTGAGTTTCAGAGACCCTGCCTCCACCTCGCAAGTGCTGTGATTACAGGTTTGTATCACTGAGCCTGGCAGAGGGGGTGCTGGAGATGAGCTGGGGGCTTCAGGTGTGCTAAGGTGCCCTACTAACTGAGCCACATCCCAAGTCGTGCAACCATATTTTACTGATGATTTGAGGTGAGCAAGCAGCCAGCCATAGTGCCTGTAGCCTCTGACCCCAGATTTCACTTGGGCAGACTGACTCCAA